GCTGCAGACGGTGGGCCAGAGGAAGTGGGTCTGGGGGCTGCAGACGGAGGGCCAGAGGAAGTGGGTCTGGGGGCTGCAGACGGAGGGCCAGAGGAAGTGGGTCTGGGGGCTGCAGATGGTGGGCCAGAGGAAGTGGGTCTGGGGGCTGCAGAACATGGGCCTGAGGAAGTGTGGGTCCCCTAGAGCTCCAGTTGTTCCTGGGGAGGGAGCTGTGAGACCATCATATGTGCCCGGGGCCCCGTGTCCCCTGAGGTCCTGGGGCTCGTTTAGCTATGAAGCTGTCCTGCCTGCCCATGGCCCATGTCCCCTGAGGTCCTAGGGCTTCTTGGTACCTTTGTCATAGGTGTCCAGCATCACTCATGGCCTGAGGGTTGCAGGGGCCCAGCCGGGGCACCTGGTTGCTCAGCACCTGGCTGCCTGCTCTGGAGCCCCTGGAGTGTGGGCTGTCACACCCTGGGCACAGGACAGACCGTGGGGGTGGGAAGTCCTGGTGTACAGGATGGACCAAAGATGGGCTCGCTGTCCTCCAGACAAAGTCCTGGAAACACTGACATCCTCCTGGCAGCTGTGTGGAGCCCGCGCCTGGCTCTGACCCCGGGTTGTGCCACACACGCACCTGTCCTGACTCAGGAGCCAGGGTGGGGGTGACTGTGCTTTTTCCAGGCTCATGTGTGTGCGTGGACCCACACACCTGGGTGGTATCTGTGTGTCTGCAACCCTCAGGCCTCAAGTGATGCTGGACACCTATGACAAAGGTACCAAAAAGCCCTAGGACCATAGGGGCTTGCACACCTATGTGGCTGATGACCCCTGTAGGCTCACACACCTGTGTGGCTGATGACCTCTATGGGATCACACACCTGGGAGGTACCTGTGTGTCTGTGGGGCTTGCACACCTGTGTGGCTGACGACCCTTGTGGGCCTTCTGAGGAGCAGAAGCAGCACTCTGGGAGCGTCCCCCACTCACCCTCACCCTCCCCAAGGGCAAGTGCCACTGTCCCCCTTGCAGATCAGGGCTGGCCCCAAAGTCTGTGTCTGGCCTCAGGCACCCTCCTGTGGAGCCTACCCCAGGCCCAAAGGTCCTACCTGAGGGCTCAGGGGCACCCGCGGCTCTCACACTGGCACTGACTTGAGGAGAGGCCAGTGCTCTCCGCTCCTGCAGTCCTGGTGGCCCTGCAGGCAGGCTCAGCAGCCTCCAGTCCCATCTGGAGGCCCTGTGGTGGCCGTTGTGGGGAGGGGGGCGCAGAGAGGTGGTCCACCAGGCCCAGCAGGACTGGTCCTGTGCTGAGACGTGCTCTGTGCCCTGACAGTGCCTCCTAGCAGAAGCCCCATGGGTGGGGTGGCACTGTCTCCTGGAGAAGCAGCAGCTAGGCTACCCTGCTGTCCTGTATCCTCTGTCCTCCCAGGAGACCCTGGTGGCTGTGTGGCTCTGTGCAGAGAGGGCATCTACGTGGTGGCTTCTGGTACCTGCCTTGGCCTCCTGGACTGGGAGACGGGGCAGGTGGAGTGGGCGGCCTGACTGGACCATGACAAGCCCCACAACAGGTTCAACGATGGGAAGGTGGACCCCACTGGGAGGTTTGAGGCAGGTGAGCTGCTGAAAGGACTGGCTGTGGCCCGGTTTGCCGAAGGTGGCCCAGGCCACCTGGAGAGCCTCTCGTCATGGCGGGTGCTGGCTCAGTGGGGACCTCAGGAGCTCTCCCCAGGCTACTGGCAAGCAGCACCCGAGGTTATGCAGGTGCTGGGCAGCCCACAGATTCCCTCCTGCTCCAAAGCCCACGGCTTTCATGTAATTCTTCCTGGGTCCCTGCCCAGAGAGGACCCTGGGAGGGTCGAAGCCGCCAGGGTGGAGCAGAGGCCAGGGCTGCTGGCCAGAGGCCATTCGCGTGCAGCTGAGGGCCCTGCACCTCTGCCTGAGCAGGCCTCTTCCCAGGTGGAACATCTCTGGGGTCCCCCCTTCGCCCAGCACAGAGGCTCATTCACAGGTGCTGCCTGAGGGCCATCCTCCCTGCTGTCCCCCAACTGAGGGTGACCACAGCTCTCTGCACAGCAGGTCTGTGTGGGGTGGACAAGGCAGGTTGGGGTGCTGCCCACCGACCTTCCACTCTCTCCAGGCACCATGCCAGAGGCGTCTGCTCCAGGAGTGTGGGAGCCGGGGCAGGGCTCCCTGTATACACTCTACGCTGACCGCTCTGTGATCAGACAGCTGGACCAGCTGGGCATCCCAACAGGCTGGACTGGTCCCTAGACCACCGCACTCTCTACCACGTGGACAGCCTGGTCTACTGTGTGCCAGCCTATGACTACAACTTGCAGACAGGAGGCCTGGGTAGGGGCCTCCCTGGCCAGTCCTCCACGTGCTCCCCAGGCGAAGGCCTCCGTGGCCAGCCCCCCACACCATCCCTCAGGTATGGGCCTCCGTGGCCAGCCCCCCACACCCTCCCTCAGGTATGGGCCTCCGTGGCCAGCCCCCCACACCCTCCCTGGGGGGGCCTTTGTGGCCAGTCCCCTGACATCCTCCCGAGTCCCCTCCTGGGGTCCCAGATGCACCACCAGGTCTGTAACTCCCTCCCATGGTTGAGGACATGCAACATGACCTCCTGGTCTGGGCTGTGAGGGGCCATGTGCCTCTGTCCTGCCGCAGCAAACCCATGGCTGGTGTGCCAGCTGGAGCCAGAGCAAGGAATGCCAGAAGGGCTGTGCATGGACACCACGGGGACACTTTGGGTGGCCTGCATTGACAGAGGCAGGGTGATCCTCATGGAATCCCGAGACAGGTGTGTGCACAGGGCAGTCAGTCAAGGAGGGGCCATGGGGTGCTCTGTGCTATGGTGTTCAGGGTCTGGGAGTGGGAAGGCAGCACCACATGCTTGTCCAGCTACAGGGCGACCTGTGCAGATGGCGGGAGTGCCAGGGTGGCCCCTCAGCACTTGGCCAGTGTAGGGAACACTGGGGCTGATGTAGAAAATGACCACAAACCAGCGATGTAAACCACAGGACCTTGTCCTGTCCCACCCTGGAGGGTGGAGGCTGGACCAGGGTCCCAGGTTGAGCTCCCTGCACAGGCTCCAGGGAGGCTCCTCCTGCATCTCCCAGCTCCTGGGCTCCAGGTGGCCCTGGCTGGTGGCCCCTCAGTCCAGTCTCTTTCTCCACGGGGCTCCTCCTCCTTCACTGGCTGAGGAACCCCACCTTCCAATGCAGCTCCAGCCAGGCCTCCGTGCCTGGGGTTGGGCCAGGCTCAGCTCTGGCAGGGCACTCCCCACCTGACCACTGTTCACAGCTGACAATAAATGTGGCCACCTCAATGTCATCTCTGCAGCTGCTGCCCTGGGATGTGCCCCCCCCCCCAGGAGTGCTCCATGCTCTAGTGTCACCCATCTTCAGGGTCTGTGTCCCCTCTTCTGTCTCTTGGGAGGACACGGCCATTGCATGAGGGCCACCTGACCCAGGAGGAGCCCATCTCAGGACCCTTCACTAATGACCTCTGCAGAGACCCTGTTACCACACCAGGTCCCCCTCACAGGTTCTGGGGTGCAAATGTGGACAGGACTCACCTCTTACAATGGTGTCCAGCTCCCTCCAGGAGCCTGGCCTCTCCAGCTCCTGGGCTCCAGGTGGCCCTGCTGACCCCTGCAGTCTATGAGTCAGGGCAGAGCTGGGGATCAAGTGCTGCAGGTGCCAGGGAGAACCAGTAGGCCCAGGGCCCCACTGGGGAGTGGGCACAGTCAGGCCACCTGGGGTCCTACAGCAGGCGGGTGGCTGGGCTTCAGGGACGTACCTGAGCTTTACTCACAGGGACGCGGCTGTGCACCCTGGAGATGCCAGTGTTCAGGGTGACCTCCTGCTGCTTCCAGGGTGGGGGGGCTGACTACCCCGACTTGTGTGTGACCTCTGCAGCGGACAGCCTGAGTCCAGAGCAGCTGTTGCGGGAGTTGTAGGCAGGACACGTCTTCAAGGTCAGTGGGGTCTCCCTGCCAGGGTCAGCTTGGCTCCCGGCCACGTCTGCTCAGCCAGGTGTAACGCATCTTGATCTCGGAGACTGGAGCAGACTTGGCAGCATCCATGGGGATATCTGTCCACCTGGAAAACAGCCCTCCCGAGGCCCCACGTGCCCTGCTGTGCACAGAGACATTTACAGGAGGTTTAGGAAGCTGGCGTGGCTGGCACTGCCGTGGCTGGGGCTGCCGGGAGACTCAGCCGCACCCAGGGACTCACCTCCACCCTCTCCTCCTGCAGGTCCTGGGCCTGGGGGTGAGAGGCCTTGCATCCTGCCACTTCACTGGCTGAGGAACCCCACCTTCCAATGCAGCTCACACCAGGCCTCCGTCCCTGGGGTCGGGCCAGGCTCAGCTCTGGTGGGGTGCTCCCCGCCTGACCGCTGTTCACAGCTGACAATAAATACGGCCACCTCAATGTCATCTCTGCAGCTGCTGCCCTGGGATGTGGCAGGACTGCCCCATGCTATGTCCAGTGTCACCCAACTTCAGCTTGTAATGCCCCCGTGTGTTCTCCAAGGTCCCCACGGGTCACCTGCAGTCCCCAGAACATGTGGTCGACACTGGCATCTCTGAAGTTGGCCTCTCTGCCTCCACTTGGTGCTGGGTCACTGAGAGCAGGAACCTGAGCATGGGCTGTAGCTGTGCTGGACGTGCACAAGTCCATCTGCTAGGGATCGAGCCAGACATCAGGTGCCTTCACAGCACTGGGCGCCCAGTGCCTTTACTTCCAAACAGTCTATTTACCCCTGAAAGGCACCTGCCCACTGCCTGTGTCTCGATGGCCTGCTATGGATAGGACCTGCCCACGGAGTCCACACTGAGTGACCCTCTGTATCGGCTTCTCTCACTGAGACCCATGTCTCAAAGTCTGTCCCACTTGCAGCATGTGTCAGAGCTGCAGTCCTTTTCAGGGCTGAGTAATATTCCACCATGTTGATGGACTCGTCCTGTTCCCCCATTCCTCCTCAGTGGACACGTGGGTCACTTCTCCCTTCTGACCCTTGTGCATGGTGCTGCTGTGAATATTCACACACAAGTTTTCATTCCAGCGTTTGTTTCTGGGTCTTCAGGGACGTACCTAGGCTGGAGGTGCTGGTGGAATGGGAACTCCCTGCATAACAGTGTGAGGCCCCTGCACACTGTCCCTCCACAGGGGGCTCCACGCTGCCCTCCCACATACACATGCTAAGAGTGATGAAGAACTTTGAGTCCCCGACTCCAGAGGGCTCAGCACAGAGCTCCTGGAGGTCCCCACACAGGTGGCCTGCAGGTGCAGACGGCGCCGGGAGTCTCTGTCCTGGGGTCCCCGTGGTCATGGTGGCAGAGTGCAGCTTGTCCTGTGGGTAGGGGTGGGCAGTGCTGTGACCAGGAAGGGCTGACCTGGGACTTGAGCCTCCATCTGGGAGTGAGGCCTGTGTGGAGTTGGTCCTGGCCAAGTGGTCAGTCCTGGAGAGGGGTGGCTGGCCTGGGAAGAGGGAGAGACCTGGTCTCAGGTGCAGTCCCTGATACAGGGTGCTGAGGGGCCAGGCGGGGACCTTAGGAAGGCCAAGCAGGGGCCCAGGAAGTGGGCATCCTCCTGATGACCACCACGGTCTGCTCAGGGGCTGGGAGTCCAGGAGGCAACTGGGCTTTGCCTTGTCTACGTTGGAAAGCCCTGGTGTCCACTGTCTATGTGGTGCTGGTTTATGCCACACAGAATGCTGGAAAGGACATCTGTAAGACAGTGGATGCCTGCGCTGCTCCAGGCCAGGGGGCGGGGTGCCAGGTCCTCACTGGAGTCTCCCTCCTGCCTGCCCTGGCTGCGCAGTCTCTGTGCCTGCCTGAACAGACGGTCAGCCAGGAGAGTGGTCACCTGGGCCAGCACTCACCTCTCTGGGAGTGTCCACAGCTTGCCAGCTGCCTGCCCCAGGTCTGCAGGGACCCCTTCTATATATGGATATCATATTAGAACCAAAAACCACAGAGCAGCTATTATATCAGTTTTCAATGCTATATTATGTTTAACATTTGATACAAAAGGCCACAGAGTAGCCATATCAGTTTTTGATATTATAGGATGGACATAATAATAGTATTACTCACAACAGGGCAGCTATTATGTTACTTTTAGATGCAACAATATAGATATCATATTAGCTGTGAAGGCCACAGGGCAAATACTATATCAGTTTTATTTTTTAATTTTTTTGATATCAAAAATTGAACTCAGGAGAACTCGACTACTGAGCTACATCCCCTGCCCTATTTTATATTTTAGTTAGAGATAGGGTCTCACTGAGTTACTTAGCACCTCACTTTTGCTGAGGCTGGCTTTGTACTCACAATCCTCCTGTCTCAGCATCCTGAGCCACTGGGATTATAGGCATGTGTCACTGCACCTGGCCCTAGATCAGTTTTAGATCCTATATTATGGACATCATATTCATATCAGAGGCTACAGAGAAGCTGTCATATCAATTTTAAATGCTATATTAGTCTTAAAGGACACAGGGCAGCCACTTTATCAGTTTCTGATGCTCTAGTATGGATATCATATTCAATACTAGTATTGAAGCCCATGGAGCAGGAAAGATATCACTTTTAGAAGTAACAATACGGATATTGCATTAGTATTATATTATTATAGGACAGCTATCTTATCAGTTTTAGATGCCAAACAGGTAATCACACTAGTACAAATTGCTTCAGATCAGCTATTATATTAGTATTAAGACCACAGGGGAGATATTATATCCATTTTAGATAATAGAGTATGCATATCTTATTTGTATTCAAGGCTACAGGGCAGCTATTATATCAGTTTTAGATGCTACACTAAGCAGTTTTAGATGTTATACTAATATGATATATCAGTATTAAAGGCATCATGGCAACTATTTGTTTTAGGCGCTGTAGTATGTATATTATTTAGTATTAAAACCACAGTACAGCCATTATATTAATTCAGATGCTACAGTATGATACTATATTAATATTAAAGGTCACAGGGCAGATATTTTATCAGTTTAAGATGACATAATATGAATATCATATTAGTATTATATATTATATTATTAAAGGCCACAGGGCAGCTCTTATATTAGGATGGATATTTTATTAGTTTTAAAGATCTTGGGGAAAGCCATTATATCAGTTTTAGATGTTCTAGCATGGATATCATATTAGTATTAAATGCCCAGGTCAACAATTATGTCACTTTTAGATGTTTAAGTATGCATAACATATTACTATTAAAGTCAACAAGGCAATTGATATATTAATTTCAATAGTATAGCATGAATATCATTAGTTTAATGGCTTCAAAGCAGATATTTTACTAGATTAATGTACTATAATATAAATATCATGCTAATATTAAAGGCCACAGAGCATCTGTTTATCCCTTTTAGATTCTATATCATGTATATTAAATATTAAAATCCACCAGAGAGTTATTATATTGGTTTCACAGGCTGTAGAAAAGGTATCACATTCATATTAAAGGTCATGTCTATTATATTGGTTTTAGAGGCCATAACATAGATATCATATTAGTATTAAAAGCTAAGGAGAGCTATTGTATTAGTTTTAGATGCCATAATATGGATATCACATTAGTTTTAAAGGCCACAGCCCAGCTACTATATTCATTTTAGATACTATAGTTTAGATATCATATTAGTATTAAAAGCCTCTAAAGCTTCTAATATCTGTTTTTGATGCTATAATATGAAAATCATATTAATAGTAAATGCCATAGAGCAGCTATTTTATCAGTTTTCATGCCATAAATATGGAGATCATATCAGTAACAAAGGTCACAGGACAGCTATCATATTAGATTTAGAGGTCATAATATGGATGACATATTAATAGTGAAACCTATATGGAAGCTATTATATTAGATTGCATGCTATCACAAGGTTATTATATTAATATAAAAAGACAGAGGGAAGCCATAGGATGGATATAATATCTGTATTGGAAGGCCACAGGACAACTTTTATATTAATTTCAGGGACCATAATTTTTATATCATATTAATGTTAAAGGCCATGGGGCAGGGGCTGGGGTTGTGACTCAGTTGTAGAGCACTTGCCTGGCATGCATAAGGCAATGGATTTGATCCTCAGTACCACACTAAAATAAATAATTAAATACAGGTATTGTGTTCATCTATGACTTTAAAAAATATTTTTAAAAGGCCACAGGGTAGGCTGGGGTTGTGGCTTGGTGTAGAGTGCTTGCCTAGCATGTGTGAGGCATTTGGTTTGATCCTCAGCACCACATAAAAATAAACAATATGGGCTGGGGTTATGGCTCAGCAACAGAGCACTTAGCACATGTGAGGCCTTGGGTTTGATCCTCAGCACCACATAAAAATAAATAAATAAATGTGTAAATATATAAAATAAAGGTATTATGTCCACCTACAACTAAAAAAAAAATTAAAAGGACACAGGGCATGTATTATATTAGTTTTAGATGCTAAATTATGGATATTATGTTAATATTAAAGATCACAGTTCACCTATTTTATTAGTTTTAAATGTTGTACTAATGATATTAGTATTAAAGACCACAGGACAACTATTATAATATTTTAAGTACCAGAGAGCATAACAGGTTAGTATTGAAGGCCACAGGAAGCTATTATATTAGTTTTAGAGTCCACAGTATGGATATTACATTAGTATGTAAGGCCATAGTGCCACTAAAATATCAGTTTCTGATGCTGTATTATGGATTTTTGTTATAATTAAAGGCCACAGTACAGTTATTATATTAATTTTAGAGGCTATAGTACAAAGACCACATTTGAATTACAAAGCACAGGTCAGCTATTATATTAGCACTAGGTGCTATAGTATGAACATCATTAAGTATTAGAGGCAAAGGTACATGAATTAGTTTAAGATGCTATATATTGATATTATATTAATATTAAAGAACACAGGAGATCTATTAGATGAGACAGTATGTATGTTACATTAGTATGAAAGGCTATGAGACAGCTACTATATTAGATTGGGATGTTTTGCTATGGATATCATATTACTGTAAAAGACCAAAAAGCAGTTATTATATTAGTATTAAATGCTATAGTGTGCATACTATATTAGTATTAGAGACCAAAGGTCAGCTATTACATGTTTTAGATATACATTAAAATCTCTTGTAGATAGACTCATGCTTATAGTCCTAAAATCAATTATGGTGAAGATTTCTGGAGAAACTTAGTTAAGATTTTCTGTGGAGGAGGGGGTGCCCTACAGAAGATTCCTTTAGTAGTACAGTCACACTAAGGTAACTTCTGACCAGCAATTAACCCTAGTGCCCACATTAACATGAGACTGACTTGAAGATGAAGCCCCCTAAATAGGATGGCCACCATGACAGTTCTGGAGAGGACCAACTAAGGTCAAAAACTCTACTGCCCAATGTGAAGGAGGAGTTGAACACCTGATTGGCAAAGTACAGAGGTGGTCCCCAGTTCTCCTGGTAAACATCAAACACTAATGAAGTTTAGGGACAGCCAAGAGATGAGAGAGAGAGAGAGAGAGAGAGAGAGAGAGAGAGAGAGAGAGAGAG